GAGGACTCGGAGTTTTGTACAAGTGTTTCTGGGAACTATAGGGCAACCTATATCGAGATTCAACAACGAGTTTAGAAGAGACATGGTGAAGTAAATATAGAGTTTTATGGGGCAAAGGAACAAATAAAAGACTGTTTTATCAAAGCTCTTCAGTTTGGAAACTTCAACATAATGAAGCATCGTTTGAAGGTCTATCCATGTCTAACTTAAGGGGGAATGTTAAAATTAAGTTAGACATTCAACCACTAAGTTAGTTATCTGACTCTTAAAGTTAGTTACTTTGGTGATCAGGTGTGTCTATTAGTGAAAGGTTGTGTCTTTTGGCCTTAAGGGTATGACCCTTTGGCTGTGTATATATATGTTGGATAATATCCACTGTACAATGGAGTTGTTGTGTTAATAAGAAATTAACTGTCATAGCAAACTCCCCTTTTATGCATGTGCAGAAACTGCAGGAAAGTTTCTGCAGATTACTTTTGATCATTTCAAACTTCCTACGTATATTAGATGTTCTTCTGTTTGACTCCAACAAAGTGGTATCAGAGCATATGGTTCTTGATTCTGTGTGTTCGAGATTTGAAGGATTGTGCAGAAAAATTAAATGATTGTGCAGAAGAACGCAGGATCAAGAACATAAGTAAGAAACAGGACTGTGTAGAAAATTTGAAGAAGAAATTCAAACAAGATCATACGCAGTCTAGATGGCTACAATAAAAAATTTTGGTATTGAAATATCTGTCAAAAATAAATACAAACAAGAGACAATTGTGGAACAACGAATTCCTATTGAGATATAGAAAGGTCCATGGAAAATAGAAGAAGATGAACTCCTGATCAAGCATGTCGAAGAATACGGACCCAGAGATTGGGATCTTCCTCTTTCAAAAGGACATCTTCAACGCACGGGAAAATCATGTCGTCTTCAGTGGTTGAACAATTATCAACCTAATCTCAAGAAATGAGATTTTTCAGAAATGGAGAAACAAATGTTGTTTGATTTATAAGGCAAGTATGGAAATAAATGGGCAAAAAATGCCACATATTTGACGGGAAGATCGGTTTATCATGTTAAGAATGTTTGGTATAATCATCAAACTAAAATGGCCCGATTTTACAAGGGTAAAACAGAATGTTTAAAGTTTAGTTCATGTCCAGATAAGAAGAGGAAGAGGAAGAGGAACAGGAAGAGGAAGAAGTGTTGATGATCAAAGTTATACTAGTCATGATGGTGTTCAAAGTTTGATGTTGGTGTACTCTCCTAATCATGGAGAAAAGAAGTAGAAATCTTGCGGGGGTCTTGTACTGGAAAAGAAAGAACAAACAAGAATATGAGAGAATCACAATCTCTCAACAAAGGTATGCTCAAGGCTTATT